TATAAGACCTATGACTATGAAAATTTAATACCAGGTATATATGTAAGTTATCTACAACTTTGTTATTAACCATCTTTATAGAAACGATCATTATCATCATGAAATCATCACCACAACAGAAACTATACATGTAGTCACCTAGTTGAATTATAAGGCAATAATTAACTATCTGCCTATAAACAAATACTTCTAAGCCTCACTAATAGTATCAACATATTATATGCATCACACACACCACAAAAAACATCATGGTTAAGCCTAACTAATTTATTTATATTAATTTATTAATTTCCTTAGATAATAAGGTGATTTAAAGGATAAATATTTTCAGTGCTCAATAAATTCTGAGCAAATTACAGTAGCCTACAAATGACCTTAATAATCTATTGTACAAATTTCATGCCATTTGGACAAGTATAGCTACCTCTACAAAAATGACAAGTTATATATGCTTATTTTAGCAAAAATAGTTTAGCATAGTGAAAAGTGCTAAACAATAGATTTAATATTTTTCTTACTTTTATCCTAGCATGATAATACTGTGTAAAAATTTACATGATCATATGTTATGTATTTTTACTCCATTTATTTTCACTAGAAACTAGCAATTAATTAAGATTAAATAGGAGGACCATATTTCGAGTATGCTTACTATAGGTTTAATATTTTTCCAAGCTAGAGCATGTGAACACAAGACCAGCAAAATTGGAATCACAATTTTATCACCTTTCTAGCTCAAGTTATGCAATTTACAAGATAGAAACTAGTTTAAAATCACTTATCTTGCTGAATTTAATTCTCCCAAAAAAATACACTAAATAGTAGATTTCATATTTTTATCAAATATTACACTTCAAGATGAATCCAATAAAATTTGGTTCACCCCATTTGGATACTCCTAGCTCTATATATAATTTTTGGAAGTTAGCAACAAAATATATGAAATAAATAAAGAAAATCAAATTTACTCGGGCGCTACAGTTAGGTGCACCCGGTCTATATACCCACAGTGGCTGACAGCGGGGGCCCACAGGTCAACCTATCCCCATGTGCCAGTGAGACCGAGGCAGAGGCGGCGGTTGACCGGTGAAAAGCTCGTCGACGGCGAGGTCACCGGCGGTAGCGTCACCACCAACGTGTTCCCCAACTCAATCCACATCGGCCAGTACCCTAGGTTGGCTCAGAGACTCGCTGGAGCTAGCTTGACAGCGGCCATGGTGGCTCGGCAGCGGCGCGCGGTGGTGCTTCGGCTGTCTCCGGTCGCGACAACTTCAGGGAGCACAACTACGGTTCAAGGGTGACCTAGCGTAGTTCTAGGGTTTGGATTGGGGCTTGTGAGGGCATCGGTGAGGCACGGCCGCATGCATGGCAGCATGATGGTGCGAGCACAATGGCAGGATGGCGGCATTTCGCTCCGACGAGGCCGACATTGGCCTTAGGCTCTTGCCTCGAGTTAGACCTAGCTCTAACCTAACCCTAACGTCTAGAAGCACGTGAGGAAGAAAACCGAGCATGCACAGCCGCGGTGGTGTGCATGGCGGTGGCGCTCTCAGCGATGGCGCAATGATGGCGACGGCATGTAGGCCTTAACCTTGGCTCGGGTTAAGGCAATGGGTGGTCGGCGAGGTGGAGGAGGTGATGGTCGAGCGGTGTGCGCGAGCAATCGCACAATGGCAAGGTGGCTGTGGCGTGCGAGCGGGGCGAAGGTGCGGCGGCGATGGCACGGCACTGTGGTTCACTCGGGTGTGGCGAGGGCAAGAGAGAGGCGAGGCAGAGGCGAGTGAGAGCGAGCGAGGAGGGAGGGCGCGTGAGTGAGAGTGGAGAGCGAGTGCCTAGCCTCTTCTCCTCTTCAGCACGCGGACGCGGGGACACGGTGGATGCGCGGTCAGGCGAGCGGCGACACACGGCGCACGGCTCCTGGCATGGTCGGCCACGACATCAGCTGAGATTTTGAATCGGCGAGCTCCATTCAGTCGACTGAAACTCAATTTTCTGACCTCCCAATCTCCCAAACCGTTGTGAATTAGTGAAAACTTCATTAATACAAAGTGTAGAGCTACACGAGTACTACAAGATTGATTAAAAGAGTTTTGTCTAAATCGCCATGGTTTTCAAACTACAAAGCTCTAAAGTGTGCTACGTTGAAACTAAAATCAGCATTCTACACAGAAAAAATTCAAGTCACAAAACAGCATTTTGTTGATACTTATGAGCTCTATTTGACCATGTTAGACACTGATTCAGCTCATGACCCTTAAACAAAGTTTGTTACCCATGAGGTGAACTACAACTTTTATTTAGGTCACACAACCATGTAAATACTCTAAGCTACTGTTCAACTTTGGTCAAACTAGTATCATGAAAATGGAATTTCAAATGAAACCAACACTTAGAAGCAAATTTGGTCTATGTCATGAATATAAACATTGTCCCAATTATCATTCTAGGTGTGTCTAAGGTGTTTTAATGACCTCACAACCATTTCATACATTGGTCATACATGATTACAAGCATAAGCATATATATAAAATCAACATTTCATGTGATAAGGTATAAGAACGAGATGAAAATTCATATGCTCATGTTCATGAATGCTTGGATGATGCTTGTGCTCATGAAATGCAAGTGCTAAATGCAATGCTTAACACTAGGGTGTTACACTCTCCCTCGTCACGACCCCTGGAAGAGACGGGGAGAGGTCGAGCCCCGCCAAGTATGCTTGTTCTGACAAGGACAGGTACGCCACACTAACCTCGCAAGAGCTGAGGGGACAGCAGTCACCTCAGTCTGAGTTAGACACCAATCCTATGCCATGCAGCTCGGACAAGACAATACTGCCCTAGGGCAGTGATGAAGGGCACGAAGACCATCGGCCAGATACGGCCCGACAAGACGCATGTACGACCCCACCCACTATGGGATGGGATCCACGATGAAGGCTTTGACTTGAAGGCCATCTAGACCGGTGGGGAATCATGACCCCAACGATCAGGATTGTGGCCTTTAGCTCCTCAAGACAACCAGGCGATCGACGACCTGGGGGCGGCTACCAACTCTCGTATGACGCCCTATAAAGCCAGGAGACAATGACGAAGACCACGGCGGAGACCATGTCGCACAGGATGGCTGGCGCACCACCATCGTGCCTACAGTGCCACCATAATCGGCGCAAAAGCACCACGCCACACCATGCTACAACATGGCCACAAGACGATGACGACAACCACGTCCGGGCGTACTCCATAAGATGGCGTAGCTTACAAGCCAAGTTAGCTAGGCTCTCCCTCATGCTCACGACCCTTCGATCAGGAGAACCTCCTCCTTTATATGTGTCCTGGCCCCAACCTCTATATAAGGGTAGCCAGGGCACCCTTTCTAGGGATTCTGAGTCCTCTACTCATTCACTCGCTCTCCATCATAGTAGGGCCCCTAAAACTTCCCTTCGGGCTACCCATCTTCTAGCTTTAGCTCTTCTTCCTCTTCCACCATTCTTGCACCCCCCATTGTAAGAACTTCAGAGCATTCAAGCGAGGAACACGCACTTGATCATCTCTGAGACTAGACATAGGGCTCTAGCCTAAACCAGTATAAATCCTCGTGTCTTTTGGATGCTACTATCGTCTTCCTAGAGCAGCACAGCAGTCATATAAGTTTACTAGTCCGGTTTACAAAACACCGATAGGCCTCCACTAGGCTCCGCCAGTGGTTCTTGGTGCATAGAGATATTGGCATACCTTGTTTACTAAAAATGATAGGGGAAATGATATGTCTGGTCTTGTAATAGTTAAATATTGGAGAGCACCTACAATGCTTCCGTACATGGTACAATCTTGAGGTCCGAGTGGTTCACCGTCATAGGCTGAAAGCTTTTCTGAGGTAGACAGGGGAGTTGATACTTCCTTACAGTTGTGCATGTTGACCCTTCTCAATAAATCATGAGCATATTTCTCTTGGGTGAAGGCTATTCCATCATTAATTTTCTTAACTTCTATACCAAGAAAATAGTGTAAGCTTCCAAGATCTTTTGGAGCAAAGCTATCACTTAAAACCATTGGAAGGGCTAAAACTGCATCACTTGATGAACTAGATACTATAATGTCATCCACATATATCAACATGAAAATAGTGGTATTTAACTTGTGATAATTAAAAAGAGATGTATCTGACTTTGATGTCTTGAATCTCAGTTGCTGAAGTTTTGAACTTAGTTTAGAATACCATGCTCTAGGGGCTTGTGTTAAACCATAGATAGCCATATCCAACTTAGAAATGTAATGTGGAGCTTGTTTTGTTTTCATACCTAGATGGTTGCTTCATGTAGACCTCTTCCAGAACGCCATGCAAGAACGTGTTCTGTACATCTAACTATATATCTCAGACTCCACCCTTTTCATACTGCAATTGCTAAAACAAGCTAAATAGTAGCAACTTTAACAACTGGACTAAATGTATCTTCATAGTCTATGCCATACCTTTGTTTAAACCCTTTTGCAACCAATGTTGCCTTGTATCTATCAATGGATCCATCTGCCTTTATTTTGACTTTATAAACCCATTTACAATCAATCACATTGTTGCCTTCTTATGGAGGTACTAGGTGCCATGTCTTGTTTTTCATAAGTGCTTGATACTCAACTTCCATAGCGTTGCACTACTTTAATTTGTATCTTGTGGCGCCTCTTGTAAATTTTCTGGTTCTCCTATAGAACTGAAACAACCATACCTTATGGTGCCATCTGTACGAAGTAATGGCTTAACAGTGCCACTTTGTAGCCTTGTTTTTGGTCTTTGCTATTGAACTGAAGATGCTAGAACCATAGCATCTTGTGTTGCAGATGCCACAGTCGTTGGAGATTCATCATCCTATATTGTAGTCGTCGATCCACTTGTGTTGTAGAGGCAAGTGGCTCATAGAAATCAACCTCATTCCCAGCGGATGGGACATCCTCCAGCGCTGGTGGTGGCGCTGCCAATTCTACTCAAGAAGTTGCAATGATGGACTAGCTTGGTATAATGTCAATCTGTGTACTGATTTGTCCTCCATTTTCACTTGTGACCTGCACAGCATTATCACTTGCAATAGGGTTAAAATTAGACATATGGTCAGTGCATAGTTCTCCCCCACGATCAAAACCAAGGTGCTGGCGCATGTGAGATGGGAGAACCAAGGTGCTGGCGCATGTGAGATGGGAGTATCAAAATTTCTTGGCGAAGACGGAACCGCATGAGGGTGGAGTGTAGCAAAAGGAAACATATGTTCATCAAAAACAAAATCCCACAATATATGAACTCTTCCAGAGGAAGGCTCAAGACACTTGAATCCCTTGTGAAGAGAGTTATAGCCAAGAAAAACATATTGAGTAAATTGAAACACTAATTTGTGGGAACTGTAGGGTCGCAAGTTTGGCCAGCATACACAACCAAAAGTTTGAAGAGATGAATAATGTGGTTTGGTGTTGTGAAGGCGCTCTACAAGAGATTGCATATCAAGGACTTTAGTGGGTAGGATGTTTATAACATATGTGGCGGTTAAGAAGGCTTCATCCTAAAACTTGAGAGGCATAGATGCATTGGCTGAGGGCCAAACCAAACCTCGGCAATATGTCGATGTTTTTGTTCTGCTACACCATCTTGCCGATGAGCATGGGGACGTGGTACACGATGCGAGATTCCAATTTGCTGAAAGAACAAATTGAGTTTCTCATACTCGCACCCCAATCAATATGCATATGGAGAATCTTTTTATTGAACTTACGTTCAACAAGACTTTGGAAATTTTAGAAAACTTGGAGGACATCATATTTTTATTCAATAGAGCCATGTATTTTTGCTGTAATCATCAATAATGCTCACATGATACTTGTATCTACCAATTGAGTTAGGTGCATGCCCCCATACATCGAAGTGCACAAGTTCAAGAGAAGATGAAATTGCACTAATAGATCTCTGAGTATGGTAGTTGGTGGCTCTTGGAACGTTGAAATACATCACATATAGACTTTTGGTGATGTTCATTACATAATGACAACTTATTTTTTGTTATAACATAATCAACAATAGAAAAAGGAAGGATGACCAACTCGACTATGCCACAAAAATTGTGGAAGGCTCGGTGACACCAAAAACTTGTCTATTGGAGCTTGACAACTTGATATGATAGAGACCTCCTTCACATTCCCCTCTAAGAATCGTTTCTTTCGTTGCCTGATTCTTAATCGAGAAAAAAATTGGATAAAATTCAAGAAAGGCATTGTTATCATTGGCTAATCGATGAACAGAGACAAGTTTTTATGGGCACTAGGAACATGTAAATCATTGTTGAGATGTAGATCATGTGAAGGGGTATGAACATTGTTGAGATGTAGTCTAGATCATACCTGATCCGCTTGCCGTGTGTACTTCTTGTCACGAACCGTACCGCACCGCACTCGCACAGTCGCACCGCACCGCACGCTCGAACAAAACGAGCCAGCCCTGCCCAGCCTCCCCAACCCATGCGTCTCCGGTACACCGGCGAGCGGCGACCGCCGGCACGAGCTCGCACCAGCAAACCTGATCGCGCTTCCCCGGTCTCCAACTCCTAACCTCCCTGTTTCGGCTCCAGTCCCCACCTCCTGCCTCCTGGTCGGCGAACACCCCCTCGAATTTCGCTGCTCTTCCACGGTTGCGTCTCCTTTGGTGTGGTCTGCGTAGGGCATGGCGGCCTGAGTACCGGGCAGGGCACGGATGAAGGAGCGGAAGCCGGCAGCCTCCTCCCCCGCGCTGGTCCGGATCCTCGCCGTCTGCGCGTCCCAGGTGCCGCCTCCTCTCTCGGGAACCCCTCCCTGCTGTATATGGTTTAATTAGCGACGGCTCGTGATTTCGTTCTGCTCGGTGCTCCACCCGGGTGGTGCGTGGAGTGCTAGGACGACTAATCTACTGGGGCTTATGGAGTGCCGACGAGTCGGTGCGGGCATGGATCGATTGACCTTGTGATTTGTGGCTAGCCGTTCGTTGCTCGTGCGGTCCGGTATTCCGGGGGTGGTAGATTTGCGGAGTTGCGTGGCTTTGGGGTCTAGTCTGTTTGGTCCTGCTGCGAATGCATTGTAGATTTACTGATTTTTCTACCCAAACTCCTAGAGTGCTCCGAGATGTTTGCTAGTTGTTCTTGGCCATAATAGTAGTTTCCTTGTCATTCCTCTTCGGTGTCAGTTGAGCATCCAATTATCCTTCAGTTCTGATGCTAGAACCGAGTGCCATTCCAAGCACAGCTGAGAGTAGGTGCAGCCAAAATTCTTGTTGCTGTATTTCTTATTGCAGTGGCCAATGGCCAAGTGTCTTATCTTGGGCAATTCTTGTTGCTGTATTTCTTATTGCAGTGGCCAATGGCCAAGTGTCTTATCTTGGGAATACAGCCTTATTTGTTATAGATATGTGCAATGTTAACCCATTAAGCCGCTCAATCTGAAAAATGTGAATATTAGGAAAACATTCTACCTGACAAATGTCAGTTATTTACATGCTGCTTTTAAGTATTGAAGCATGTTACACTTACCTGTTTGAGTGACAGCGTACAGAAATTGTCACCTATGGTTGCATGCTTTTATGAAGAAATACATGTTTTCGAAAAATCTAGTGCCACCTTGCCTGGTCTTTGCTCTACTTATGTTGTGCTTGTTCTTGTTTCGCTATTTACTGTAGGCAAAAGATTATGGGAGATGCATAGCAGCAAAGGTCCCTGAGATTGAACATAATATGTGTTCTAAGGAATAGCACTCAGAGCATGCATGCAGACTGTGGTAATTTCTTGTGCCATTAAACAAATATATATAGGCCCAAATTCAATCATAAAGTTAGGTGCATATACTTATGTGTCCAATTTGTATGTAAGGGGCCATTATCCTTGGCACTGGCCTTTCCTGAATCCTAAATTAATCTCCTGTTGTCTATGCCCTTTAGAAATGAAGGTATATACTTAAGAACACCATACTGTTGAGGTTTGGTTCACTTGTACGAATTGTTATCGCTGTGACAGAGAAGTGGCTTGGCTTGGAGATATTGCTTCATTAGGAATTTGTCCAATTAAATCTTAGTGGTATAATAAAACAATTTATACACCAAGGTCAAATGGTCTTTAGTCTATATAGACCATATCTCATGTTCTCTAATCTGTCGCCTTTGCCCTTCAGTGTTGTGGTCCATTGGTTGAGTACCTTTTTAAAGATGAAACATGTGTATTTATGTTACTCTTTGGAATGTCTGAAATATGAATTTTTTTATCGTCTACTTGTCTTTAAATTATGAACTTTGTAATTGTGCTTTCTCTTCTGTCTTGAAAGGTTAAGAACAAGGTTTGAGGCTCCATATTTATAGGAAGTTTGATACTAATCTCTTTTGGTAATTGCTGTGGATTTCAGGTGAGAATCTGAGTCCTTACTTTTAAACCAAAAGAGAATACTTGGTATTGTGGTGCTTTGTTATCATTTTTAATGTTAGAAACTCTACCATGCTGATTGCAGACCCTTTCTGTTTCCAGTCATCTTAAAAAGTAGAACCTCATTTGCTTGGCTAAACAATCAATAGAGCCTAAGCACGCAAGACACAAAAAATGTTGGGCAATCAGATACAAGGGGGCTTGGGCACACCTGGGGCGCTGTCTCATGCTTATGTTCAGCATCCTCCGCTGCGATGTGACATACCAGACATTCGGGGTCTGTTCTATGATGATGCAAATAAGTTCCTTATAGCTCCAACTGCTGATCGGGTATATGAGCATTTAATCAGCTGATGATTTTCTATTTGTTTCGAGAAATATGGTTATTATTACTAAAGTTAACCTGTCTAATTACTGCAGATATTGTACTGGAAAACAACTCTATATACTCCATCTGGACCTCCAAACTCTGATCCAGTTAATGAAGGACCTGTCTTATCAGTTCGATATTCGCTGGATCATAAAGCCATTGGGATTCAACGATCCAGACATGGAATTGAGTTTAGAAATAGGGAAACAGGGGAGACTTGTAACAAAAAGTGCAGAGCTGATTCAGAAACTATACTTGGCTTTTTCTGGACAGATTGCCCAACATGTGATGTTATACTTGTAAAAACAAGGTATGTGCATCTTGTTACAGCTACAACTTCAGGAACAGAAATTGTCTAAAAAAATTAATCCCATTGCCATATAGAAGGATGTAACTATAAGCTGTTTATCAGTTAGACTAATAAGCCATTGTATTATTTGTATTCAAAATATATTATCAACTTTTTCCATAAAAATATATCATCAGCTTAAGTGTAATATAATGTCAAGTCCTTTCATAATTTAGTTCTATGTTAAAAGGAGGCAAGCATATTCTTAAGCTATTTATGCAAATAAGTTTTTGTTGCAGCGGTCTTGATCTTCTTGCCTATGAGCCTCAGTCCCATGCTTTTCACTTGGTGGAATCAAAGAAATTCAATGTTAGCTGGTATCTTTACACACATGAAAGTAGGCTGATTCTTCTTGCTTCTGGAATGCAATGCACGATGTTTACTGGCTATCAGGTAATGGCACCCGCTTGAGACAAAATCATTGAAGCTCCAAGTAAAGACTTCATTTTTCCTGTTCCGAGACAAAACCTGTCTCATGCTCGCTGATGCTGTGGTTGTCCTGCCTATAAGGCAAATCCCCAGTTGAGAAATTTTCAACTTCTATGTGAACAGATGGATCTGTTTTTTCAGCTTGCCATTTTTCTTTCGGAGTAAATTTATATTGATTATTTGTAGAGTATAGAACAAAGAACATCTTATAGATTGAAGGAAGCTTTCGAGTCACTACTAACAATTTTGCTTTGGCTTGTACTCCCTCCGTTCCAAATTATAAGACGTTTTGGCTTCTCTAGATATATTGCTTTTACTATGTATCTAGACAATAGTGTATATCTAAGTGCATAGCAAACGATACATATCTAGAAAAGACAAAACGTCTTATAGCTTGGAATGGAGGGAGTATGTCCAGGTAAAATATAGATGAAAGCAAATGCATATATGCGAGCATCTCCAGCAGATCCCCATTACTTCCCCAATATAATGCTAATGGGGCTACCCCAATACCTCTTTTCTGTTTATTTGGGGAGATACTGCAGCAAGTCACCAATAGATCATCCCCAATCCTTGATCTGACATGTGGAGCCCATATGGAAGTGCACCAATTCAGTTTTTTATTTTATTTGTTATCTCTTTCTTTATTTCTTCCTCTTCTCTGGTAGATCGGCTCTAGGTTCTTGCGCGGCCGGCCACGCACGCTCCGGTCTTGGGCGGGCGAGCTCCGGGCGGTGAGGGACGCGACATCGGGCGGCCGTGGCACAGGTTGCGACGCCGCCGGTCCAAACCGCCACGGTGCCCCCTCCGCAGCGCTAGCGTAGAGGTCTCCGCCGACCTCGGCCGTGGCCCTCTCAGCGTTCCTCGCCAAGGCCGACCCGGCCTCCTGCCTGCTCGCCAACCCTACCGCCTCCCCTGCTCCCGACGGGGATTACCTGCATGGCCTCTGGCCAGATCATCCGCCTCGTCCTCGAGTTGTCGGGGACTCGGGGCTCAGCGGGACGTTCCCGCCGGGCATGCTCTCGTGCCTCGCTAAGCTCCGCGTGCTCAGCCTCGAGTCGTTGCGCTCCAGTGGCGGTGGCCGAGATGGGTTGGAGTGCGGCAATGGGAGCTCGAGCTCGGGCTCCTCGACGTGGATGACTTGGACGGCGAAGGATAAAAGTAACACGAGAGGGAGAAACGGGTAGTTGGATGTGGGGCCCAGCTTATTGGGGGAGATACAACTCCTCCTCTATTGAGGGGAGATGGGCTGTTTTTTGGTGGCCACCAACAAAAGGAAGGGCTATTGGGGGACTGCTGGAGAAGAAAAAGTGAGCCATCTCCCTCAATATGACAGTTTTATGGGGATGAGGGGTGGGATTGGGGGACTGCTGGAGATGCTAGATCTTGTCCCAAGTTCATGAGAGGCACATTGACTCAATATACTATTTGCCCACTGTCCCTATTTTTTGAACTCAATCTTGTGGTGAGTTTTTTGTGCATACAAAACTTTGAACCTGTCAAACATTCTGTACAACAATCATATTTGCAGGTGTGACTTGTTTTTCTTGCTTTTCTTTTGAGTCCTGACATTTATTCAGATTGAATACATAATTGCAGCAAGAGTATTTCTCAAGTTACCTTTATTCAAGTATTTAAGATCTGAACAGAAACTTTGTTTTTGTTTTAGTTGTGTGCTGAGGTTTTAAACTTTCCTTCCTTTCAGTTTTCTGCTGGTGGGATTGTCAAAATACCAAAGTTTGAGATGATGTCTAAAAGTGAAGCAAACAACAAGCCTGTTCTAGCTGCAGATGATGTTCACATTGTAACAGTGTATGCTCTCTCACTCCTGCTCATCTCTTTTGGAGCAACATTTACACTGACTTTTTCTCAAACTTGACAGCTATGGTAGGATTTATTGCTTGCAGCTTGACAGAGTTAGTATGTCATTGAATCTATATCGCTTTTACCGTGATGCTGTTGTACAGCAGGTTTGAACTACAAGTTAATTTTCCCTTCTTCCTTTTTTACAAGCAATGTTTGTCTCCTAACTCGTAACTTTAATTCCAGTGTAGTCTGCCAACATACTCAAGCAGAATTGCAGTTAGTGCTGTTGACAACATAATTATGGTTCACCAAATAGATGCAAAAGTAGTCATACTTTACGATGTGTCCCTGGATTCTTATGCCCCAGTTTCTGCACCACTCCCACTGCTAGTGAGAGGGCTGCCCATCAATAGTAAACAATTATCTCAGACTGCAGATAGCCAGTCTAGTGCTTATGGTGGAACCATCTATGGAGAAGGTTGGAACTTTCTCATTCCGGACCTCATCTGCGATGCTGAGAATGGGCTCTTATGGAAGCTCCATTTAGACCTGGAGGTAAGAAGTTGCTGATGGTCAATTTTTTGTATCACTCCTTTTTCATTGTGAATACATTTTTGCTCTAACATGCTTATGTTGAATTACAGGCTATTGCTGCTAGTAGCTCTGATGCTCCTTCAATTTTGGAATTCCTTCAGAGACGAAAGTCTGATCCAAGCATGGTAATTTTATTTTACTACTTTGCAGATAAGCAAATTTGGTGTTCAATTTTGCCAACTATCAGCATTACGGTACCAATTCCTGTTAATTGTTATGAATCAGGTTAAGACTCCATGCCTTGCTATAGTTCGGACAATCATTCTGGAAAGGAGGTCAGTGCCCACAGTTGCTAAGGCAATGGATGTTGTTCTTGATTCCTACACGCGTTTGATGAAAATGGGAGGGGCTTTTCCTGGGGTTAGGCGAACACATGAGCAAAATCAGCAGTTAGGTAGTCAGCCTAATGAGGGCTCCCATGTGGTTTCTCAGGAACCTAGTCCTGGAACAACAGTTAGTCCTGCTGTGAACCCAGACCAGGCAAGTGGGGCTGTGAATATATCTGAACAGTCAAATTCAGGGGTTGAGCATTCAATAGACAGGGGATTACTAAATATAAATATATCTTCTGATTCTGCGGACAATACATCTGATGCTGTCGACAAAAGACAGCAAACTGTTGGCGAAGCTAGCCGACCATTGTCTTCAGGCACATTGACTCAACATGGACAACATGCTGGAACCGTGGCAATTTCTCCAATTGAGATGTTCCAGTCTGTCTTTACACTTGTTGAAGATGAAATGATGGGTGATCCTGCATATCTTATTGCTGTCATCATGGAGTTTCTACAGAGGTATTTTTTTGTTGATTTAATATCTTAAATTGTTGAGGATTGCCAATATTCCAGTTCATGGTACATTTGCTGTTTATTGAACACTTTGTTTTCTGCATATATTTGCTGTTTATTTAGCATGCTGGGGTGTGCTGTTAGCAAAGAACAATGAATCTGGCCATATCACTACCACAATTGGCATGTTGCTTCCAAGCAATGACCATTCACTCCATTTTATGAGGCCAACATGATGACAATGGGTGTTTCCTGTGAAATCATCTTACATCATCCATTTTTCTCTGTTATGGTGTATGGTGTATGCTTTGTTTTTTGTGTAGTGGATGTTGTCTATCTGCTCTCAGGACAAAACAGGATGAGAACAAAAGGTACTATGTTGTCTTATTTGCAGTGTCTCAAAGGCTGGGCTCAAGGCTCCTCACAACCTTTATGTGATGATGGCAACACTACTAGCTCGTAGCAACCGTTATGCTGAAATAGCATTGTTTGTGTCAAACAAGGTCAGTTTATTGTTCTTGCTCAATGTTTAATGACGATTATGTTGTTCGCTAGGTACATTTTGTCAACCGTTATGCTGAAATAGCATTGTTTGCTAGGTTGTGTGTCTTGGATTGCGAATTTGCGAGTGGTTCTGAAGTACTAACGTAGCACTTAGCTTGTGCCTTGTATGTAGGTTTCATAATGGTTCCAACCATTATTTAGAGCTACTTTGCATGTATATTAAACTAGAGCAGTGTGTCAACTTGTCTTCTAATCCATATCTATTGTCCAAATGAGGCTATTGCTTCGCCATGTCATATAGTTTGCATTTGTCTTTTCCTCAAATAATAAGTACATTTAGGATTTACCTGGATCCTGTAGAATCAGGCCTCTTTGCGTGTTTTCTGATTGAGCCCTCTGGAATTGGATATGGCCAATCACATTTGGCTAATTTGAATTATTAGGCTATTGCTTTAAGCTTTATACTTGTATGTACTACCACTAGTAATTAAACAATAAAAGTTGTGGTTCATATTCCGGTTGACTAGTGATGTTGATGTTGTTCATCATAAAACACTTAAAACATGCTGCCTTCATTTTGGCTATCAACCACTTCCTGCAGATTCTTGAGCCGTGTAAAGAACTGGCAATGCAACTCATGGAGCTGGGTCTGCAGCACCCGCCAACAAGGAAGTTGGGCATGGATATGCTGAGGGAGCGAGGCCTGCATCACGACTACGTTACTGCGATGCTGCAAGATGGGTACTACTTGGAGGCCTTGCGCTATGCCAGAAAATACAAGGTCCTTGGCTTTGCTTTGATTTGCTCTTTTCCCCTTGCGCCTTGCAACTAATACGTTTTGTTGCATCCTATCACTGACACTGACGCGAGGATTGATTGGCCCAGGTGATCACCGTGCAGCCTGCCCTGTTCCTTGAGAAAGCCGTGGCGAAGAACAGCGCCCACAATCTGGCTGCAGTGCTGAGCTTCTTCTGCGAGTTCACTCCGAGCTTCAAGACCACATCGGACTTTGGCAGATACCGGCATATCCTGTCAGAAATGGTTTGAGCAGCTTTGTGTTGTGCAATCTTGTTGCCCCGAAATGACTTAGCACGTTCCCTGTAGCAAGCAACGTCGCCTCGGAGGATATTTTTATTTAATTCTTTTGGTGGCTCCTGCAGAAATAAAACATAAGTAGCAGTACTGTTGTAAATAAAATACAGTACGTTAATACGGAGTAGGTTTATTACCGATGAAAGAAGTCTGGTTTAAAGCTAAGGTGACCGCTTCGTGTTCTCGCTCGCCGACCGTGCAGCTAGAGCTAGCCATCTCGTCACTGGATGCTACTCCTAGTCCTAGCCAACGACCGAGCCCTGTTGGCTTGAATTTTAGCAGTATTTTTTCACGAACGAGTAGTGTTTTTCTCTCACAATAAATTAGCATTAGCGTAAGTTAAATTTCAGCATAAAAAGTGTTCATGGTCTGGAACTCGAGCGCAGGCTGAGGCCAGCCGACGCTGGTTGTTGACGACGGAGCTGGACTCCGCGGCGGCCTTGGTGAAGGTTAGTTTGGCAGTTAGACGCTCGCACTCCACGACCGCTGTCGTGGTTTCTGACGGGCCCCGTAAATTTGGAGATGCATTTCCAACTTCTGTTGGAGACGGGTTTTAGTCTAAAATTATCATACTTGGTTTCACCGAAGGTTTTGGATAACTTATAGTAGTTGTTTTTATAAAAAAAAAATTTCCCATAATTAATCTAATAAGCATCATAAAAACATCTAGTATTGTGACTTGACATGAACACCTTTTATTGGAAGTACTTCACTGTATCTTTAGGAGCTATTTGGCTGATGGTTTTTATGGTTGATAAGCTGGTTAAAACTGATTTGTAGTGAAAGAAAAAAATATTTTATAGCTAATAAGTTAAGCTAGACCGATAAATTCAAGCGAATAGCACCTTAAGTTACTATAGTATTTCCTTAGGACTTATATACTTATTATATTAGTCTTGTTGAATAGTGCTTGAAAAACAGATAATGCAATGCAAACAGCAGAAGCCACCGTCCGCATGTTTCAACAACACCGCATACAAACAGCACATTTACATCAAGCTGACATGGAAAGAGGAGAGGAGAGAAAGCAGCTAGGCGGAGAAGAAGGCGGCGGCGGCGGCCAGCCCCAGAGCCCCCGCTGTCTCTGTCCCCGGCACCGGCACCGGCACGCCCACCCCAGGTACAGATGCCATCATCGCCCAAGCGCTCTGCTTCCTCGTATCGGAGTCGGAGGCGAAAGCGGAAGCATGGCAGCAGGCATCACCACCTGGCAGTTCTTGGCTCCTCCGCCTCAGTGCTGCTGCCCTCTTTGTCCCCCGCTCCAACTCCTCAACCACCAGCAGCGCTATGTCCGCCATTGCTTGAAGCTCACGAGTCACAACAGCCTTCCTCTCCTCTGCTCTCAGTCTCAGGCTCCGGTGAGTCGCGGCTTGCCGTTGTGCTGGTCTTTTATATCACTGCTTACCTGCCGGCTGAGCTTGGAATTGGATGAGCCTGCCACATGCGCGCGGACGGGACCCAAACGCCTGCCGCCGATGAGTTAACCTTTGACATCTGGCGGCGGGGCGAGTGCGACGTGTCATGCTATGCATGGCCCTCTTTTTTAAGCTGGCATAAGCTTTATTGCCCGTTCGTCATTTTTTTTAAAATATATAATATTATTATTTTATAAGACAATTAGTAAAAGTATGCGTGGAAATAGAAAATTTTGTAAAACTAATAAGCAGTCCGTCTAGATACATAACTTATTATACACAGTGCGTTTGGTTAGAGGACGAAGTTGGATGGTATACGACGATCTATGAATATTGGGATAGGGATATCCGTGATATATATTTGGTTGGATAGATGGGACGAGCCATTTTTCTGTTTAGTTGAATGGATGAAAGTGGATGGGACGAGAATAGTTGACTAATTATATCTATTATTTAAAAATAATAACAACTAATAGACACTAATAAATATGCACTAATACTGTCATTAATAATCACTAATTTAAAATAAAATATGTTAATAGCACCATTAATATCCTAATTAGCACACGAAACATGCACTAATCAATGTATTAACACTTATCAAAACTAATCCTACCATCATAATTACTAAGTAATAATATAACATACTAATAATTCTTAATTTATTTACTAATGACGAAGATTAGAAGATATGGATAAGCTAGTCCGCCAGATATTTTTATCAGAAAATCCAGTATTTTGAGGTATATTCTCTATCCATGGATTTGCTTGTCCTAGTAATCTACCCAACCAAACGCTGCATATCTATGGATGGTCTCATCCCATCCATGGATATCTAAGCAACCAAACATATAGTACACAACCAATTACTGCTTCTTCCACAGTAAACTATGAGAAGATTCTAGCTGTTGTAGCTATAGCAATGCTGCTTTTAAGAGCAATGTACATAAAAAAACCAAACCTCTTATAATTTAAGACGGAAGGAGTACGCAACTAAAAAAATGAAACCAAGACTACTCCAAAGTTTGTCGAACACGAGAAATGATAACCATACTGTTCTTTGTTTTTTTATGGCCAAATAAAATTAGGATTGATATTTGAACAGATTTGGCTATATTTGTTGCTTAACTTATGCAATAATTAGCATGATTCTCTGGGTTCCAAGAGATAAAGCCAGATTGATTCTTTCATTTAAAAAATACCGTGAAAGAGATCCACATTTATAAATAGTGGCACTGACCGGATTTAAAATTTTAGATGGCAAATGAGAGATGTGGTATTGACAGGATTTAAATTTTTAGGTGACAGGTGTGACATATAGAAAAATTTTCCTATTACTTTTATTCATGAACACTAGAATTTAAATCATTAATCTTATCTAAATTAATGTACGCTTTATATTTCTTTTGTAAAATCTAAAATGTCTTAAAGAGCTCTTAACTCAAGACTATATTATAAAATACCTAAATAATTATTAATATTTGTGATGAATGAAAGCGAAGTTCTCACACTCATAGATCATGCGGTGCACCAGGAATATGTGTTCTTATATATTACTAGAAGAATTCTCCGCATGTTGCGGTGGGAATCGTAGGTGGAATTATACTACTTAAATTTACTTATATCAATGGATAAATATCATAATACCTATTGGACATTTTTGGCACTTTGAAATGGACAACTAAATATATGTTAGTAAATGATGTGGTTTGTTGATGTGAATAGCTTCAGTGAAGACATAATTACATGTTCTAGTGGGATGTGATCGTGGATGCTAACGTCGACATTTTCCATGGCGAGATAAAATGCTAGTAGGGATTGAAAATATAAGATATATATGCCGATGTGAAACGATCTTGATTTCCATGAAGGGAAATCCACATATACGAACCATAACATGATAGTCCCAGATGATCATCACATTATGAAATAACAGTCGATATCACAATCATACATCAAATACCTATTTTACAAAGTACAAATAGCATGGTTTACTCATTATTACATCACCACTTGACGGAATCACTCAGAGCACATAGCATCTTGAACAACATCAGGTAGAACGGCAGCGGGCGTAGACTTCATCTTCCTAAACCAAACTCGAGCGAAGAACAAGACATGTAAGCCTCCCAATCATCTCCCCGGAAGTCATACTCAGACTCGAGCCTTGCCAAACAATTATCAGTACGATTTGTACTGGCCACTGCCTCCCACTCTATGCTTCGCGTTTGCTTTGTGGCAGTGGAATGCAAGGTGTCGTGGGGTCAAAACCACAGCAAGCATGTTGTTCGAGTCGGTGTTAGAGTACAGGGTCTCTGGTGGCTCGGGTGGACTCAGGAACACAAGAATTACACAGAGAAGACGTAACGGTTTATCCTGGTTCGGGCCAATTCGATCCCTATGTCCAACAGTTGATGATCCTTATACTCAAGAGCACCCAAAATATGGGGTTACAATAGAGTGTAAAGGAAGAAGATTTAGTAGGGGGTTAGCTCGGTGCTAATCCTAAGGTTGTCTCACCACCGGTGGAGTCTCCTCCTCGTTAGAGAGGAAGGAGATGGTGGGATGCGGTGGAGGAGGGGCTCTCGGTGCCCCTCTCTGGGTTGCCTTGCTCTCGGTGCAGAGCGGAGGCGGATGGAATGGAATGAAGTGTTTGGTAATCGAACTGGGATCCTCCCCCCTCTAGGTCCGACCTTATCCCTTATATAATGAGATAGGTCGGGTACAAGGTGGTTTGGGGGTTATAGTCTATGGTCTACATGCGCTGGAGTCCAGGATAGGCTTACAACGGTGCGCCATGGACCGTCGAGGTGTCTTGGAGCCGAAGAAGCCTAGGCGTCGTCCGTCTACTCTATTCTGACACTCTGCGTGTCAGAGAGTGTCGGCTTGGACCGGCCTCCCCCGGGTGAGACCTTCTGGAGTCTTCTTGGTGTAGAAGGAGGTCGTCTCTAGGGGCTAACGTGCGGCCCAGAAGCCCCCGAGCCCTCAGAGGCCGTGGGAAGCTTTGTCTTCTTGTGTCACGCCCTGAACATGACCCTGTCGGAGGAGCAGTTGGCAGGGTCACGTCTAGGGAGCGGTGCCAGGGAATCCCCAGGCATCGGTAGCCTGGGGCTTATCTTTTTGTGCCTAGGCCTTGGCTGGCATCGTTAGTCGGGCAGGAGCCAAGGATCGAGCTTGGTCGTGTCATAGATCAGGAGCCCAAGGCTCAAGGAAGCCTCCGAGCCCCAGGCAGAAGCTACAGTCGAGTCAGGATCGGTCGTGTCTCTTTGCTAGAGGGTACGCACGAGGGTGCCCGATGGGCATAGCCCTAGAGCCCCTGGGCGATCCTAAAGGGGTCGGTCGGGGGGTTTTCTTCGTTCGAGAACCATTGGACCCGAGGCTTAACATACCTATATGTTAAGATCTAGTCAGGAGCCCCTGAGCCCTTCGTGGCCTCACCTAGGGTGATGGAGACGGAGGGGTTAATTCAATCTTCTAGTGACCAAACCCTCCTTGGCAGGGATGGCTTCCGCCGGCGAGAGTGATGTGCCCCGCTTGAGGCCTTCTTATCCAGTGTGGTGGATGGTGCTCGGCTGCCAAGGCTAAGCAAAGATGACGCTGATCCCTTCGTAAGTCCATGTCGCATGGGTCTTCGATTTGAGCAAGAGCTCGGTGGACACGTGTGGGAGTCGTCGACTATAGGCCCGGGGGCGCCCTCTTTTCTGACCGGAGCCTGCTGTGGGTCGGGTGTTCAAGAGCGCTGGGCTCTGGCTCGGGGTCATCTGATCATCCAAAGCTCCACGCCCTTCTGAGGGCTACAATAACAGGTCCCGATCCTCTCAAGCCGATGTTCTAGGGCCGACCCTCTATAGCCATAGATTGGGGAAGTGGGAGCGCACCGAGGCTCGAACGGAGGTCCTCGTTGGACCCACTACTCAGCGGCTCCCAACCTAACTCCAGGGAGTTGGTTGGTTTTTGGGGGATGCGCCACTCGAGTGCCCATTGATTAGGGGGTCGGGCTGCTCCATCTGGGGAGCCAACACAGCCCTCGAGGCCATTGTGACCTCGAAGTCTTCATGGGCGCTGTCGAGCCTTTAGCTCAAGGCTGATGTTCCCTCGATGGGCTGGGCTACCACGACAATAGCCTCGTTGTCCAAGATTGCCATGCCCGTGCTACTAGCGGGTAAGTCCATGAGAACCCCAAGTTTATGGTCGTTCCGTGCCTTGGTCATGTCCCCTAGGGGGGAGATTCTCAGCTTCTTGACCGAGCCACTCGTATAGTTCCTGAGCCCATCTATCGGTGCTCGGGGGCTCGTTGCCTCCCTCGTTGGGTCACCACAAGTGGCTCAAGGCTGATACTCGGACATCACTCGTCTGATGGTCGAGACGCTTATGAGCGTCCTGACTACAGCTACGTGGGCTCGTCTCCCGAGCGTCCCTCGCACTTTGGAATCCTTCCTGGGGTGACCTTGAAGCTCGGGGGAGTCGGCCTTGAACCCTAGGCAGCGCCCCTTTCTGGGGGACGTCGCTTCCGCCCCACTAAGGGGTGGGCTATGGCCAGGGGGTTAGAGGCAAGAAAAATGAAAGACAAGAAGGAACAAGCTATGGATAGAATCAACATAGCTGTTTGATGTTCCAGGCATTGTTGTACTCGTGCCCTGACATGGTGCCGATCTTGTAGGCGCCCGGTCGGATCACCCGTGAGATGTAGAAGGGTCCTTCCTAGGGCGAAGATAGCTTGTGGCCATTTTGGATGGGGTGTCTCTCTAGAGGACAAGATCACCTACAACAAAGGAACGCTCACGTACCCATCTGGCATGATAGCGACAAAGTCCTTGCTGATAGTCGGTAGACTGCACCATGGCGGTGTTCCACTCTTCTTCGAGCATGTAAACTTTTGCCTG